GCACGGTGGGGTATTTTTAACCGCGAGCATGCGACAGGCTTTTTTGTCCGACTTGAACGCGCCCCTTATACAGTACGTCTGCCCGTCTTCCTGTCGCTAACGTATGCCTGTTCGTACGCAAGTATGTGTGTGTGTGTGGCCTTCTGCCAGTAAATCTCTGTGCCTGCCGGCCTGCTCACTTGTGGCACCTCTCTACCGGGCCGTCTGCCTCTCGCTCCTCCCTGCCCGCATCCCCGGTCACCTGCCACTCGCAGAAGAAAAAAAAGGTTTACTTCACGACCGATGGAATTTTACCGGAAATCTGGACAGATTGCTGGTCGCATAATGCCCACCCTAGAGTTAATGGGCTGTGGGAGCTTAAGAGAGGAATTCAAAATGACAGGGGGTGCTGCAATCACTCCGACACCGAGGGCGTGTGAGGAGGTTGCAGCCCCACCTCGTGTGAACGAGAGCCAATTAAATGGGACCTCAGCAGTAGTTCTGCGATATCATGTTCCATGGGCTGCTCTCTAACGTGGGGTGATGTTACACTGCTCTCTGCGCGAGCTACGAATTGGCATTCCTTAGCCCCGTGACGTGACGCCGATAGCCCGGGCGGAATGCGATTGGAAAAGAAAGATCGTTTAGATGTTTAACAGCGTTTTACAAAAGGGGCACACGCGCGCGTGTGTGTGCGTGTGTGCAGTATTTCATGTGTTTGCTTGGCGGTCGAGAGAGGTCAGAGGTGGCTCGAATCCCGCCCGCTCGCTCGCTCGTTTGCCGCCTGGGCTGCGCTCGCGAAAACGACGCCGGCTCGGGTGTCGGCCGCTCGGTTATGCATGAAGCCGCAAGAAATAATCCTGGGCGACGCTTGCGCTACGGGGTCACAGGCGACGCTGGTGCCGCGGGGTCACGGGCAACGCTGGGGCCGTGGGGTCACAGGCGACGCTGGCGCCGTGGGGTCACAGGCGACGCTGGCGCCGTGGGGTCACAGGCGACGCTGGGGCCGTGGGGTCACGGGTGACGCTGGCGCCGTGGGGTCATGGGCAACGCTGGCGCCGTGGGGTCACAGGCGACGCTGGCGTCGAGGGGTCACGAGTGATGCTGGCGCCGTGGGGTCACGGGCGACGCTGGCGCCGTGGGGTCACGGGCGATGCTGGCGCCGTGGGGTCACGGGTGACGCTGGCGCCGTGGGGTCACGGGCGACGCTGGCGCCGTGGGGTCACGGGCGACGCTGGCGCCGTGGGGTCACGGGCGACGCTGGCGCCGTGGGGTCACAGGCGACGCTGGGGCCGTGGGGTCACGGGTGACGCTGGCGCCGTGGGGTCACAGGCGACGCTGGCGCCGTGGGGTCACGGGTGACGCTGGCGCCGTGGGGTCACGGGTGACGCTGGCGCCGTGGGGTCACGGGTGACGCTGGCGCCGTGGGGTCACGGGTGACGCTGGCGCCGTGGGGTCACAGGTGACGCTGGCGCCGTGGGGTCACGGGCGACGCTGGCGCCGTGGGGTCACAGGCGACGCTAGGGCCGTGGGGTCACGGGTGACGCTGGCGCCGTGGGGTCACGGGTGACGCTGGCACGAGCCAGGCATGGAAGGGCCAGCAGCGGCAGGGAGTGCAACGATCCGATAAGCAGCCGAGTCGTCGCCCATGCGGTCTCGCTCGCTCGCTGCGCAAGTTCGAAAGTTCGTAAGTTTAGAAGTTCGCCAATTAGCAAATTCGCGGGATCTAAGGATCGCAGGTTCTCATGTTTGAATCTCCATGTTTTGCTAATTCCAGCTGTTCGACGCGAACTAGAACCGAGGCTTAACATTTTCTCGCTCGATGTTTTCCGGAACGCTTCTAAGCTGGTTTGTAGTAGGGATTATCGACATAAGGCACTACCACTCGAGTGCAAGATATGCCTGTCTATAATAATCCTGTATTATTGTACCCGATTCTGCTGTATACTCAGGGCAATAAGGACATCTGGTGAGCCTAAGCACTATTCTCACGTGTGTTTTTGCACTCCACACACACACTACCACAGAGACAAAGATCCCGCGTATAGCCTTAACAGATTGTTGGGGCATGTGCTGTAAGCGAGCAGCTATGCAGGCCGTAACGGCAAATTAGGGGGTGGGTGGGCAGCACCACGCCCGGCCGCCTTTGTTTCCCTAGTTGTAATGTTTAAACACCGCACAAGGTACTCATTTGAGGCTGAGCCGACCTAGCGGGGGCCCAGGACCGGTTCAGATAATCGCCACCGCTGTTAGACGCGAGCGGCAATCGAACTCGCGTCGCCGGGTTCGTAGCGCAGCGCGGCGCTAACCGCGGCACCACCGCTCCCCAAACACCGTCAAGGACAAACTTCCCCGCGTGCAGCCTTCACGGACTGTTGGCGCAAGTGCTGTAAGCGAGCAACCACCAGGCACACCACTGCGACATGAGGATTATAAAATAAGGCGAGGTGGAGGCTGCGTGCCAAAATAAATTTCCGGAACGGTGCTCGCGACTGTTCCGTGTGAAACGAAGCGCTGCCTGCGAAGTGTGTTCACTTATTTTGGTGTTCACCGTTGCCCCCGTCCATATTGCAGCGCTCGGTTACTTCGCTTGGCTGACCTCTTGTGCGTTACCATCAGGGGATTTAACGACATGAGTGTTAACGGTGGAGACGGGGCGAATGAAATGGATGAGAGGAGGCAATGTGTAACGAATCTGCGACGCGTGAACTCGGTGAAAGCGAAATTGATGACAGTAAATGATGACGAATGGATTGAATGAATGGGGAAATGGTGACCGCCATATCATCAGAATATGAAGAGGGAAGAGGAATGCTGGTGGTTACGAGGGGGAGATTAAGGGGGTCGTGGGGTTATCGAGGCACAGTAAGTGAGTTTTTGAGTGCGGAGCACGGAAACTAACGAGCGAAGGTGCCTGTTTAATGTGGAGGGGAAGTTTGTTCCAGTGAAGGGGGCCCGAGAAGAGAGAAAGAGCGAACGCGTGAATTGAGCTCAAGGAGGAGGAACAGAGAGAGAGAGAGCAAAGACTGAGAACGTAGAGGGGGCGAGGAGGCGACACGTAGAGAGAGGCAAGCGTGGCGAGATACGGCGGAGGCAAGTCCAGGAAGGGATTTGTAGACCCCAAGGGGGAGTGAACTTCTCTTGATCAAGCTCGAAGCAAGCGACGCTACGCTACGCACCGCACCACAGCCTCTTTCACTTGCGCCGACGTTGCTACCCCAACAGACAACGGGCGCTTGGCAAGATGAGAAAAGAGTCGCAGAGCGATTGACGATTAACAATCGGGATGGAGCGGCGATTCAATTGGTAACGCGCCTCTCCAACTGACGATCTGAGTTCGATTCCCGGTCACGATTATTCGAACCGCTCCTGGGTGCTTCCAGCCCCCTCCGCCCCCGGCCCCCCAACCTTCACGAATAGGCACTAAACCAAAGTGGTGAAGTATGGTCAAACAATGACCAATGACCGACAACGGCATGCGGTGGAGGCCTTCATCCAGCGACGGATTTACCAACTTCATCATTATTAATGTTGCCAAATATTCATCACCCTTTCTGTCAAGTCTGCAATGCCATTGCGGTAATAATGTGGCTGACAGGCAAAATTGCAATGCAATGACATTGGCGTTGTGGGTTTAAAATGCTCAGTCCTGGGAGACAACGGAGTCTCGTGCACGGTTATTTAAAACCTAGGCAGGTAAACTGTGCTTTCTACTCGTACAACTTTCGCAAATTATCTTAAATTCGCAACATCATCCAAACCTGTCAATGCATACGGGTTGCCCGTATTCTTGTACAGGGAAATTCAGTTTTCAGGTCCGTAAGGCGTACGTACAGCCGTTTCAATACGGGCAAAAAAAAATTGTATACGGCCAAATAAAAAGCACGCAGCAGCATCAGCATGCAAGATCACAGACCGTAGCATGATAAGTAGCATCATCGACAACAATTATTAACATTAATTCATAAAACTGTCTTTGTTTAGTAACGTCTTTTTTTCTATGCGTTTGTGTTTCTCCCTTGTGATGAGACTTTGTAGGATGAACGTTGAGCTTTATAAGGGTTCGGGGTGACCAATAAGGTCTGAATTGGTCTGTAATAGGGTAGGACACTGATAAGGGGTTGATAGGTATGCATCAACATCACAATCATCATTATTTCTGCCATCATATTCTTTAACATTTATATTGGCGCCGATCACAATTTTCAAACGATTTTCATCCTAAGCGTCAAAGAGCCAATGCTGTGTATCGTATTACATCTGGTTTGGTAAGCTCTGGTTTCTTTCTTATCGGGGGTGCGTGTTTCTATCCGCTATTGAGAAACACCGAAGTACTTAGCGGAAAATATTGTGCAAAGAAGCAGAGAGGGATAAAACAGAGACGCATGCTTGGAATAACTGCACATCTTGTGACAAAGAGCTTCAAAGCTCATCGGATTCCTTCAGCCGAAGCCAAGATTCTGATGCTGAATTCCACCGAGAGCCACAGAAGAGGAACGCGCGGATTTGGAGGACACCCGCGGGTGAATGCCGTCAACAAAACTCTGGATTCTGTATCCAGAAAAGTGGCGTTCCATCTCCCCACGTACAACGGTGGAGATGGAGCGATGAAGTCAGTTTGTGTGCAGGTGCTAGCAGGCTCGTAGAGAGATTGCGGGCGGTGGCTTGGAGAGGCCTTCATCCAGCAGTGGATCAGCCATGGCCGATGATGAAGATGATGACATTCCGATGATGCTGCAGATGATGACAGCAAGACGGAGCTTCACAAGTCACACGTCTTCCTTTCGCAAACAACGGAAGAAACACTTCACGAGCTTCCAACAACCGCACGAACCCGACGACGAAGTCTCTCCCGCGTGCCTCTTGGCGATGATTACACAGCACGCGCCGGTAACATAAACTAAAAAAAACCCACACACAAAGCAAGAGGCTAAACTGAAAGGGGCTGGGGAGAGGTTCTGTTGCAAACTCTCTGGGAGGGGGGGGCACGGGGGGGGGGGCACGGGGCACGGGGCGCTCACCATGCGAAGGGGAAACAGCTAGGGACGACGCCGGCAGGAGGAGGATGATGATGAAGATGAAGAGGAGGAGGAGGCGGTGCGGCGGTCGAGTTGATCTCGCAGTCCGCGCGGTGCCGATCGAGCGGCACTCCTCCTCCTCCCGCTCCTCTCTCGTTGCTGTTTGCCGAGTTGGAGTCGCGGCTTCGAAAGGAACAACCCCAGAAATGTTGAAAGCGCCCGGGGCTGCTGCTGCACCTCCCCCCACCGCGAGCGAGCGAGCGAGAGAAACAGAGACGGAGTCGGCGCACCCCGCACGCCCTCGGCGGAGCCCGCAAGGCGCAGCCGCGGTTCCAACAGAGCGCTCCGCTCACTAAATCCCTCGCCTAACGCTGCTGCCGCCGCTGCTTCTGCTTCTCCCCGCGGGGCCTCTCTCGCTCTACCGAGCCCGCCCGGTTCCACGTTTCCCGTTGCTGCCCCAATTAGGGCGCGCGCGGGTCCGCAAGTGACCTGGACCCCCCCCCCCCCGCCGCACCCCACGCCCCCAACCGCCCTCTTCCTCCCTCCAGCGGCAAGCGCAGCCGTGCTGGGCTGCTCCACATGCGGCCAATACGGAGACGCTCCAACCCCCACCACCACCGAGACCCGGCGGCTTCCAACCGACGGGAGAATCCCGTCTCGCACTCACTCCACCAGGCACGCACATTCACCCACTCGCTCACCAACCCACTCACTCGCTCACCAACCCACTCACTCGCTCACCAACCCACTCACTCATTCACTAATCCACTCACTCATTCACTAACCCACTCACTCACCAACCCACTCACTCACTCACCAACCCACTCACTCACCAACTCACTCACTCACTCACCAACCCACTCACTCACCAACCCACTCACTCACCAACCCACTCACTCACCAACCCACTCACTCACTCACCAACCTACTCACTCACCAACCCCCTCACTCACTCACCAACTCACTTACTCACCAATCCACTCACTCACCAATCCGCTCGCTCACTCACTCACCAACCCACTCACTCACCAACCCACTCACTCACCAACCCCCTCACTCACTCACTCACCAACCCACTCACTCATTCGCCAACCCACTCACTCACCAACCCACTCACTCACCAACCCCCTCACTCACTCACCAACTCACTCACTCACCAACCCACTCACTCACCGCACGCACGCACATTCACCAACCCACTCGCCAACCCATAAAGATAAAGATCCCCCGTATAGCCTTAACAGACTGTTGGGGCAAGTACTGTTAGCGAGCACCTATGAAGGCCGGCTCGGCACACGACGAGGTGGGTGGCCAGTACCACGCCCGACCGCCTTTGTCTTCCCAGTGGCGATGTTTACACACCACACCAGGTACTCATTTAAGTCGACCCACTCACCCGCACGCATGCACACCCACTCACCCAAACGCACATCCAATCACCAACCCACTCACCAACCCACTCACCCGCATGTACACCCATTCAACCAACCCACACACCCACTCACTCGCACGCACACTCGGATTCACCGCTGCATCCCCGGAAGGAGCTGAGAGGCGGGATCTGGCATACCGGGGTGATGGGAGTGCTTTTGAAGTTGGCTGGCTGGCTTGCCTGTGTACGCATGCGTGTGTGTGTGGAGCGGTAGTACTCAATAACAAGCACTTGCCCGACAGTCTGTTAAAGGCTATACGGGGGGGGGGGGGGGGGTTATCGTTTAGACATTTCTAACAGCAACATAATCTTAATAGTCTAAACGCATGTTTTATAAATGTGGAGGGAAACACCGGGAGGATCCCGAGACAAATCCACGCGACCTTCGGGGAGAGAGACACGCACACTCCAAATGTAAAACAGGCGAGGTAGTTAACATCTCCTTGCCATCGTGCTGATGATGAGAGAGAGAGACACGCAAACTCCAAACACACAACAGGCATCTTCAGGGTCGGGATCGACCCCACGACCTCCTGTATACCAGGCGAGGTATGTGCATTTGGAGTAGACCGAGGAGGAGGAGGAAGGGAGTGGGTTGCGATTTGCCGCTGCCCTCCAATAAAGAAACCCGAACCTGCCTTGCCCATTCCATTCACAATCTCGTAGCTGGAGCCACACGGGAGCTCCGCCCGCGATTTGGCGATGCATCGGGGATGCGTCCGTTGATCACGGAGTGTTGCCTCTGTTATAGCCTGGACGTGCACACGTGAATGGCGGTTGTTGCAAGTTTGAGAGAACGATCATTTAATAGATGTGCGCAGAGGTTTGCCTCGAACTGACATCATTTCCAGACATTTTTTTAAATCTTTCGATTCGCTCGAGGTTCAAGTCCCTATTGACACTTGTGCCAACGTCGCATTGTCATTAGACAGACATCACGTGACGGTGTGTGGATGAAGGTGACGTGTTAAAAATGCGATTCAATTGGAGAGATTATCTGTGTGCGTGTGTGTGTTTCACTTGCAAACTCTGAGCATGTTTGTAAACACAATGATTTTTTAAAACCCCATCTACTTTGGCTCAAATTCTCTATGCGAGGGAGACGCTGATAGTTTAAGTTGTCCCAGTGACAATTGTATCGCAGATGGAAGAGTTACACCACATCAAAGACAAAGATCCCCCGTGTAGCTTTAACGGGCTGTTGGGGCAAGGGCTGTTAGCGAGCACCTATGAAGGTCGTCACGGCACCCCAGGGGGTGGGTGGCCATCACCACGCCTGACCGCCTTTGTCTCCCCAGTGGCGATGTTTACACATCGCACCATGTACTCATTTGAGGCTGAGTCGACCTAGGGGAGGACCAGGACCGGTTCAAATAATCGTCACCGGTGTTCGCCGTGCGCGGGAATCGGACCCGGGTCGTTAGGTTCATAGCGCAGCGTGGCGCTAACCGCTAGACTTCCGCTACACAGACACACACAGACATACACAGACACACACAGACATACACAGACACACACAGACACACACACAGACATACAGAGACACACACGCACACAGGGCTGGGATCCATTCAAAGAATGGCTCGTAACATTCAGGAAGGGACATTTAACTTTTTTTAAATAAAAAATTGTATTTGCCACTTGGAACAGAACAAGAAAATATCTAGATTTGCATTAAGATCAAATGTTCCTATGAATAGCAAGTACAGTCACGCTGCTTTGGACGCTCATCAAATAAATATCTGTCCGGCGAGTACGTGCGCGCGTACGCTCATTATACAATGCCCGGGACATGCGTTCCAAAGTTTCACCGCAACACATGGACCACGTCTGGGATGCGACCACCTCGATCGTGCTGTGACTTGGCTGCTCGACTTCAATGAAGCTCCCCATTCCCCCTATAAAGGTCTCTTCGACTCGGAAAGTTTTCTCGATGCCAACGGGGGAACCGATCTCACTTGCATCCCTCCCCCCCCACGACGGCTCGCGCTGCGCAGGGCAAACGGACGAACCTTACCCTTCGGTTTAACGCGTTGGCTTTCGCGACCCAATTGTTATCCCTAATTTACGATGGTAAATCCTCCGTGGGGTTTTTCCTCTCCGACACGCTGGCGCCTCGCTGTACCGCTGACCAATTGGCGTGTTCTGTTTACGTGACACACCTTACCAATTTGGCCGTGTCGGGTGGCGGCGGGTTTAACGACACATTTCTATATTTTACGCCATCTATATATTTTTTTTTGCGGGGTGCCTCGACCGTGTCGTTTTCGCCGCCTGTAAGCGCGCGTCGCGTTGGCACGGGACGGACCCGACGTTTCGCCCCCGCGTGGCCGGTAGCTTGTTTCGTGGGACACACGGAAACATTCCCGACAAGAAAGGGCGAAGCCTCACGTGGTGGCCGTGCCATGCGAGCAGCACTCAATGCGGGCGTCACCCCCAAGGCGACTTCGCCGTTCGCTCAACAACAACAACAACAAACCGAAGCCCAGCAGCGTGAAGACTGAATCAGAATCTTTGTTTAGACTGCAGGAGGATGAGGAGGAATCCGATGAGACGTGAAGCTCTTTTGTTTTTGTTGCACAGGTGTTCAGCGAGGGCGGGTCAGCGAGTCGAACACGCCACACCCACGGTCGCTGTGACTTCAGTCGACACTCGACATCGAAGCCGGAGCGGTGGTGGCTACGCCATGGTCGATCCACTGTTGGATGAAGGCCACCCCAAAATCCGCCACAACATTATCACACTCCTATCATTGCACAATCCACAGAGCGCCTGCACACAAACTGATTCTGTCAGTATGTCTCCTCAGTGGCGGCGATCCTCGATGTGTTCCATTCCCTGGCTCCCATGCAGTCCGTTATTAGTATGAGTATGCCTTCTATAATGTATGTAAACATAAATAATACCAACCCAATATCATTCCAAATTGTGTGATGCTGTAAACCGCTGCCGCAGTTGCGGCCTTTTTGCGAGCTTCGTTGTCGCTCTCACAAAATGTTTCCAATCGCAGAATTTGGTAAGCAGGGGCGATAATCTGAACTAAGCAATGAATGCGTGTGACCTTCGGCTCGTCGGCGACCGTCCTATTATTTTTGTCGTGAATCTATTTCCTCCAAATGTGGAAATGCCTGCGACACCATCGCCAATTCTTTTCACGTGAAAATATTCACGACGAATGCGGCACTCGCAAAGAAAAACGCAAGCGGCTTTCCCCTCCTTGGCGTGTGACAAGTACGCGTGCAAGTCACGCGTCCAAGCTCAGGTCTGTGAGCCATTGGATAGCATTCGGGAGTCAGCCGCGACTAATCCCGCTCGGTGCGCCGGAGAGAGCGCGCACAGTCGGATGCGTTTGCTCGCGAAGCGGCGGTTCCGTCGTCTGGTGGGCCACAGGTCGTGCCGTGGGGGTTGTCTTCAATCCCACACGCGTGCCGTGGCGGGTGGGGGAGATGCGTGCGTGGCGCGGTGATGAGTTGCCGTCCTGAAGCGGTGCATGGAAGCTCCGTTAGGTTTTCTCGGGAGATCAAAGTCGCAGTGGTGGTGGGGGGGGCGAGGTCATCGATGATTTTTTTTTTTGCTCATTGGGAACCTCCGCAAAACTCCACGGTGTTTGCCAGCGGTCTCCATCTGACCCCGCGCGCAAGCAGCAGCAAGGCACGACCGTCCCACGTCACGCCGAGCACGCAAGTCAAGTGGCCACCAGATTTTGCACGCGCGGTGGTCTCAGCATTGCCGTGACCACCAACTCGCCAGAGCTGAACGTGTGGCCGTGTTGTCGTAGCGGCCTTTTTGGCTGGCCGCCGGACAAAGACGGGCAGCCGCGTCGCGCGCTTTCAGATGGCGCTTCTGTGGCCCGTCTGGAACGCTCTTCCCTTTCGATATCGGGAAAGCCACTGGAGCTATGCGCTTTTAAATCTAAATTGAAAACTGATTTCATGTGCTTATTGTGTTTAGTTTGTTACCCCCCCCCCCCCCCCCCCCCCCCCCCAGCACCTCCGATGAGCACGGTCGGCTACGTACGGCGCGAAAGAAGTTCAACGTACGTACA